ATCAGGAAATACAAATCGCTAGAAAAGGACCTTATGGCTGGGAAAGTAAAGGGTCAGCGAAAATGAGGAAGCTCTCTGTGAGATGGATTGACATAATAGCCGCAACAGTGGACTCCAACATACCAACGATCACAAAGATGGCACAGGACTGGGCAACATTTTACTCTGTTACACATAAGGTCGCCATGAGCTGGAGCCAACTCTGCAACAACTAACAACAACAGCAGTTTGTTGGGTTTTAGAGGAGATTCAAACATTAACCAGAGTCATTAGATGGTATTTAAGGTCTTTTCTAACTTTTCTGTGACGTCGTCAGTCTTTTGTTCCAGTTTGAAAGACACGGAACTTTCTCTCTTAATGATATGATCAATTATTTTATTTCAGTGAAGAAAATGTTTGGAAGCTCTGTGACTACATCAAAAACCACGACCAGTATCCTTTAGAAGAGTGTTACGCTGTCTTCATATCTAATGAGAGGAAGATGGTAAGTTGATGAGGGAATGCAGAAAGAACACCAGAGATTTAGGATGATATCAAAACTAATGCAGCATGTATTTAGTACTGTTCTGAAATGTGCCTTATAAAATACAGCAACACTTAAAAGTTTGTTTTTGAATGAGATTTTTTTCCTTACAGGGCACGGTTGAGTTAGAAGAGTTTAGTCCCTTATTTGTAGGTAAGGAAATATCTGATGGTATGTTTATGCAGATTAAGTTGCTTTCTTTAGGTATTAATTTAGAGCTTTTTTAATTGCTTAGATTAGAGCCACACACTCTCAGGTTTGAAGTAAAGAATTCATTGTCTCTGGAGTTTAAATAGAACTACGGTAAACTTGTAGGAGGTATTGAAAAAACGTAAGCCCTTCACATTTCGTAAAGCACTTTCGCAAGCTTCTCATTAGATCCTACTGGAAACTCTGTGAAGTAGGCAGGGCTCGGATACCCTTCTTTGTTTATAGATGAGGAAATAGAGGCTCAGGGAGGGCCATAAGCATCAACCGATGCCAAAACCTGTTGCTATCGAGTCAATTCCA